GGGGGGGTTAGTGATGTGACAGTGTGACTGCTGAGTTTTTTTACCTTTTCTATATAAGGGCCACTCAGGGTTGTAGCCTTGTACACATTTATATTTTTGTAACATCATATTTTAACTCCAGAGACTTAGGATTGACTCCAAAATTCAGATAGCAAAATTAAAAATCTTTTCTTTCTTTTGTGTATATTTTATATGTGTGATATAGCAGTGAAGTGTTTCTGCAGATAAAGAGAGCAATGAAGAAATGTGAGTTATGCAATAGTATAGCAAGAGTTTACTGTGAATCAGATCAAGCCAGTCTTTGTTGGGATTGTGATGCCAGAGTTCACGCAGCTAATTTCCTTGTGGCTAAGCATTCAAGAAATCTTCTCTGCAATTCTTGCCAATCACTTACCCCATGGACTGGCTCTGGCTCTAAACTTGGTCCTACTGTTTCTGTTTGCCAGACATGTTTTCACAAAAATAATGATGGGGCAGATCATGATCTTGATCATAATGATACAGATGAAGAAGAAGATGATGATGAAGATGATGACGGAAGCAGTGACGAAGATGATGGTGATAATCAAGTGGTTCCTTTGTCTTTTTCAACTACTGATCAGCCTCGTCCTCCGTCATTGGCGTCAAGTTCTTCTTCAAGTAGTGAAGAGTCTACTAGCAGATTTTATAGGAGAAGAGTAGTTGGTGTCTCCAATTCAAGTATTGGGTTTTCACCAAACAGAACAGATGAAAATGTTCGATCCCATTTTCGTGTATGTCTTTAATTTTCTTCATCATACTTTTCTTCCCATTGATTAATGAAGCCAGGATTTTTAACAAGCAGATTCGAAATATTAAAAGTACATACACGAATATGTCAAGGGGATTCAACATTTACAATTTATGTATAAAAAATAATTTTGACCTTATATTACAGTGTAATTCTTTGGCGACGAACCCCTTCCGCCGCCTTATCTCCGCCCCTGCCAATAATATTATCTAAAACTATAGTGTGCACTGTTTCTTTTGCATTTTCAGGGAATTTCAAGACCTGAAGAGAAGGTAAAGAAGAGTTCATGGACATGGAGATAAAGTAGGGAAATTTTCAGATCAAAAGCTTCTCTGTTATATGATAGATGAAGGGAAAGAATATTGGCAGTGATAGATCGTTGGTATGAATAAATCTTGAAGAGTTGTAAATGACACATATAAGGTAGCTAGTTTTTTATGTTTCCATCTGCTGTTGACATCAATCCTGGAGTTCTTACTTGGAAATTTATAATAATTGATTATTTCTTACTTGGAAGTTTGCTAAGTTACAAGTATTACTGCATAGACTAAAGATTCTTTATTTGTCCTTATTTTCTAGATGTGAATCTGTTTTACTTTTTTCATTTACAGCGTCTTTATTTTTATTTTTGCTTAGTTGAAAATAATGAATGCCAGATGTGGCCGAAATCAAGATGAGGGAAAAAGATGATTGGACAGGACAACTCTCAGTTATAGGTGATGATAAATAAGTCATGGTTTTACTCATTGGCAAGCAAGAAAGGTTTTTGCACCAAATACAATAAAAGAATGCATGACATGTTGCTCATTCCTACAACAAAATAAGATAGAGGCTTATTAATCACATTTTCTTTGATTTCATCTTAATGTTACATACGTTTTCTTTGAAAAGAGTGTGATACCACCACCTATTAAGTCAGACGAGCGGTCCACTGAGCTCTGTAAAAAATGTTTTTTAGCGGAACAATGCAAATATTTTTGTTGTAGAAGGTTGACTTCTAGCAAAATAGCTCTTGCCGGAACGAAAGTCTTTTTTTTTTCTTCATAGATTTTATGTAAGGGTATCAGAAAAAATCTTTCTACCTTCGTAAGATAGTAGTAAAGTCTACGTACACTCTACTCCTCCCAGACCCCACTTTATGAGATTATACTGAAGTTATTATTATTCGTTGTTAATCTCGAGAAAAAGCGATTCAGTCCTAAACTATATCAAGATAACATTATTTACCTACTCACATAATTGCCGAGTTAGCCATGGTCCCAAAACCAAGTTCTTACCAATTAAAGTAAGATATTCTTGATTTTCTTCTTAGTGGCACGACGTTAAGGAAAGGAAATATAATCTATTCCCTATGTAAGAACTACTACTTGAGTAGCCTTTTATAGCTAACCAAATAATGTCAAAAGAAGACCCAAATTTATTGACCAATATTACTAGCTACCAGCCAACACAACCAAACTTTGAATAATTGAATCTTCTTACCGTGTGTTTGTGACTCTCAAGTTTCCTTGTCATTGTTTCTATCTTGACATATATGGTCCAATTTCAAACCAAACGGTCCACTTGTTGACTCAACAAACTCTACAACAACTCTCCTTAATTTCCCCCCTCCCCCAAACAAAACCCAACAACGTATGGAGGGTCCAAAAATTCTAAAAATATACCAATTGTTTCTGTTGTGGTATAAAGTGGGACCTCTTTGAGATAGACAAAAATGTGGAGAGTTTGGCATATTCTATTTTTGATTGCTTCAATGGCTATCAATGGACCCTTGGACTCAAATGTCACAACGCAAATTGTTCACTTTAGAAGGATTGTGCATGAACCTGAGACACTTGTCGTTTTTATTGAAAGCTTTGCTCTTTAGCTGAAGCTTTGCCTGCTCCACAAGTTTTCTGCACCTCCCTTCCCATAGCTTTTAAAGAGAAATAATGTAGCAATGAATTATTATATATACATTGCTCAAACTTTTTTTTTCTTCCTCCATATTTCATTGACTTGTTTCTAAAGTATGCATTATATCATTAAAAATTTAAGTTATTAGCACAAAAAAAGAGACGCTTTATAATAGGTCTATACATGTTCAATCGAGTACATAGAAATATATTTGCTTATGAGTTATGGTAGGACTAGGTGCCAAGATCTCTTGTTAAAGTATAAGATTTTTTTGGCTTTTTATAATAATAGTGTTGGACCAATCGTAATTTTCTTTCTCTTTGCTAGGGATCAAATATGATCCTATGATCTTCATTTCTACTTCAGCAACTATTATGTCAATTATTGGGTGCCCGTTAAAAGAGACAATATTAATTACTAAAGGTTAAAGGGTACATAGCCAAGAATCTAGGGATGTAAAAATTGAAGTTAGTACAAATAAAATTAAGTCGAATATAAAAAGTGGAAGCACATGTGCTGAGTTATTAAAGTTTCATTAGATTATACATGTCAGAGTGGAAGATTTAGGGAGAAGCTGACAGCTAAACATAATTTGTTAAGGTTAATGAACATATAATCAAGAATCTTAGGATTGTAATCTTTTGATTAGCATGCGAAGGACCTTAATCATGACGCTTTTATTAATCTATACCGTTAAAATATGTGAGCAGGTGAAGAAGAGTATAAAAATGAGATTAACAGACTCGGACATATTAGACGCAAAGTTTTCGACATGGCCACGTGCACAACACAACCCTGTTAATAAAATTAATTGCAATTTGATATCAAATTCACGACATCCCCACGTGCCCTGTAAACACTAGTAGTAATTTAATTGCAATCCGTCAAATTGTCTAATGTTGATGTTAGTATTTAGGATTTAGCCTATCTATATTTATATCGATGGCGTAAAGAATTTTTATATCAGTACATTATAACCAATTAAAGATGACCATTTATCTTATTTTTTAGGTAACTAGTTCACACGTACTATAAAAGGTTACTTGTAATTTCTCTTATTTGACCTGATAGTGTAGAAGGTTACTTTTACACTATTAGTATATAAAAAATTAAACTATAGTATTATAATACTTTGGAAGTTGTTAACGTTGAAGAGAATCAGGGAATCTAGAGAAATAAAGAACTATGTGTGGTCGTAACACATTGCGTAAACAAGAAAATTGAACTCTTTTGATATGTGTGGATATGATGTCATTATTTTCAAAATTGTAGCCACTATGATAAAACTAATCGAATTTACACAGTAATGCAATATGCAAGTGAATTTGTGATGAATCTAGAGAGGAAATGAGATGAAGAAGAAAACACTGTTGTATTGATCTAAGAAGAAGAAGAAGAAATACACGTGTGGGCTCTTATATAAACACCCACTTCTAACCGCCTATAACAACCTTTCCACATTAGGACAAAGCTTTCTAAAGTTGTACACTTAGGCCCCTTAGCTGATCCTATATACAATTGATATGTATCTCAATACTCCCCTTCAAGCTGGTGGGTGAAACACATCAAGCACACCAAGCTTGGACAATAGGAAGTGATCTTGTGCTGATCCTAAACCTTTGGTCATAAGGTCAGCCTGCTGTAAACTAGTAGAGATATATCGTGGTGCTAATTGTCCAGCTTTGATTTTTTTCTCGAACAAAATGACAATATATTTCTATGTGTATGGTCCTCTCATGAAAGATGGGATTGGCAGCTATTTACAAGGCTGCCTTACTGTCACAATGCAGGGGAACTGGTTGATGAACATGAACCTGAAGTTCCTTTAACAGTCCCAGAAACCAAGTAATTTATGTTGCTGCTAGACTTCTGTATTCAGCCTCTGCAGAACTTCGACTCACAATCTGCTGCTTCTTGGACTTCCAGGAAAGTAGTGAATTCTCCAATTTGATGATGTATCCTGTGATTGATCTTATGGTATTTGGGCAGGAGGCCTAGTTAGAATCACAATAAGCTGATATGTTTTCGATAGGACCAGCACTTAACAAAATTCCAAGCCAGGAGCTGATTTCACATATCTGACTACACGTAATGCTGCATTCCAATGGGATTGTTTGGGGTGTTGCATGAATTGGCTAAGCACTTGAACTGCAAAGCTGAGGTCTGGTCTAGTGATGGTTAAGTAGAGTAGCTTCCCAATAAGTCTTTGATAGCTTCCAATGTCCGCCAGTTCCCCTTCCCCTTTGACACCTACATGCTTGTCATAGTCAATTGTAGTCAATTTCTGATTAAGTTCAATGGGAGTAGAGATTGGTTTGGCTGCTGCAAGGCCAGCTTCTGAGATCAATTGCAAAGCATACTTTCTTTGTGTGAGCAGTATCCCTTTCTTTGATCTCAGAACTTCTATTCCAAGGAAATAACGAAGTTCTCCTAAGTCCTTCACCTTGAAAGAGCTGTGTAAAGTCTGTTTAGCCTCCCCTATCAACTCTGCATTGCTTCCAGTTATAAGCAAATCATCCATATATACTAGGATTATAACAATGTCAGAAACTGTCTTCTTGGTGAATAGAGAGTGATCATGAGCACTTTAAGAGTATCCAGCTTCCAATAAAGTATCAGTAAGTTTAATGTTCCATTGCCTTGAGGCCTGTTTGAGGCCATATAGAGATTTCAGCAGCTTGCACACCTTGTTCTCCCCTTGTTTCTGGAAAACCTGTGGCAAATCCATATAGACTTCCTCATATAGGTCTCCTTATAAAAAGGCATTGTTCACATCTATTTGGAACAAGTTCCAACCTCTGGATGCTGCAATGCTGATCACTATCCTCACAGTTATCATCTTTCCTATAGGGGAGAAAGTTTCATGATAATCCAAACCTTCTTGTTGAGTATATCCCTTAGCCACCAATCTAGATTTGTATCTCTCTATTTCCCCAGTTGCCTTGTGTTTTATTTTAAACACCCATTTAGATCCTATAGCACGTTTACCTATTGGCAAGTCAACTATCTCCCAAGTAGCATTGTCCTCAAGAGCATTAATTTCCTAGGACATTGCTTTTATCCAGTTCTTGTTCTTGCATGCCTGGCTGAAGGATTTAGGCTAATCTTCAGCTGCAAACACTCCTAAATAAGCCTGGTAGGTGTTAGACAAATGAGTGTAGGATATAGAGTTTGAGATACAATGTGGATTCGACTGTGGCTTGCATGTGGTAATGTAGTCCTTTAGCCAGATAGATGGTCTAGAAGCTCTGTTGGATTTTCTAGTATGCAACTCAGTATCAGATGATTGGCTTGTGTCTGCTGGATTCTCAACATCTTCAATCTCTGCAGCTGGATCCTCAACATCATCAATCCCTGTTGCTAGACTCATGGCTGGTTCAGAATCAATCTATTGTCTGTTCACTAATGATTGTCTGTTCAGGATCAGTTGCTGTTGGATCTATTGTAGTCACTCCCTCAGTAGAAAGTTGTCCTTCAATAGTTGAATGAAGAGTAGGTTGGGAAGACATGGTATCAGTTGGAGCAACTGATGGTGTAGTATTTGGAAAGAGGTCTTCTTCTTCAATTTGCATATTTTCCTTGAAAGGAAATACATGCTCTCTGAATGTAACATTTCTGCTGACAAATATTCTTTTACTGTCTAGATCATACAATCTGTAACCCTTTTGTGTTTCTGAATAGCCAATAAGAATAGACTTCCTTGCTCTTGGTGCAAATTTATCTCCTCCAGGTAAATTGCTTGCAAAACAAAGACATCCAAATACTCTTAGATGATCTATCCTTGCTGGTTTCCCATGTAATACTTCATATGGACATTTCCCTTGTAATATTCTTATGGGCAGCTTGTTTATCAGATAAATAACTGTTCTTACACAATCTCCCCAAAACCTTATTGGTACTGAGCTTTGAAACTTCAGTGCCCTTGCTATCTCCAATATATGCCTATGCTTTCTCTCAACTGTGCCATTCTATTGAGGGGTATTTAGGCAGCTACTCTGATGTACTATTCCCAATGTGGCTAACAATTCATTGTAGTGTGAATTAAAAAACTCAGTGTCGTTATCTGAACTCAACACCTTTACAATCATACCAAATTGATTTTGAATCATTGCAACAAAGTTTTTTTATTACAACTAGTACTTCAACCTTTGACTGAATCAAACATACCCAAGTGTACCTACTATAGTCATCAACAATAATAACAAAGAAATATTTTCTATCATATATAGGTACTCTGCGTGGTCCCCAAACATCTAAGTGAACAAGTTGAAAATTTCAGTAGAACTAGTACTACTAACAGGAAATTTTAGCCTACATTGTTTATCTATTGGACATACTTGACAGTCCTCTTGTGCCTTCACATCCACTTTATTCTGTAACTCTGGAATATGTTGCATTGCCTTTATTGAAGCATGTCCCAGCCTTAAATGCCAAAGTTCAGTTTCCTTTTCCTTTCTCAGAGATACTCCTGCAGCTACCACTGTAATGTTTTCCTTAAGAAGATACAAATCATTATTCTCTCTACCAATCCCCATCACCCTGCCACTGTAGAGATCCTATAATATACAGCATCAGGGAAGAATGTGGCTGAGCAACATAAATCCTTTGTTAGTTTAGACACTGATAATAGGTTAAATTTAAAGTCTGGCATATATAGGACATTTTTTACTGTCTTATTGCCTAATATGGAGGCCTCTCCTGTGTGAGTTATTTGAGACTTCTTTCCAGTAGGAAGTTGCACTTCATGTTTCCTTTGGTCATCTTCTTTTCTAACATTGTTAAGGATATCCTTACAGTGTGTAATATGATGTGTTGCCCCTGTATCTATTACCTAATCGCACATACCTGCATCAGATAATAGAGAGACTATACCTGCAAAATTATCAGAACTTTCTGCAGTTGTTGGCTTTGACAGCAATCTCACCAATTGTCGATATTGTTCTTCTGTGAAGAACTACCCTGCTCCTTGTATCTGCACATTCATTTGTTTCCCTTCCTCACTGTTTGCATTCATATTCACATTGTTAGTATACACCTTTCCACCTGTAGGTTGATTCTTCCTTTTACTCTTAAAATCAGCTGGATATCCAATTATTTTGAAGCAATTCTCCTTAAGATGTCTTTTATACCCACAATATTCACAAACCATTCTAGGTTTCCTTACTTTAAAGTCTTGTCCTCTCCCTGCTAGCATAGTGAGTGGTTCTCTATGAGTATCAATGACACCTAAAGACCTCTGACTTTCCTCTTGAGTCATATAGGCTTCATTAACAGTCACAACATGCCTCTTCGCCAACACATTACTCCTTATATTGCTATAACTTTCATTTAGTCCCATAAGGAACTGCAGAAAACGTTGAGATCTTAGGTGTTCTACTGAAGGTCGAGCTTCTTCACAGTCACATGAAAACAGTGGTACTAACACATCCAATTCATCCCACAAGTCCTTTATTTTTTAAAAATAGCTAGTGACAGAGTCAGTACCTTGTCTTAAGGTTGCGATGGCTGTCCAGAGGTGATAGATCCTTGTCAAATCTGATTGATCAAATCTCTCCTAGAAATCATTCCACACTTTTCTGGCATTTGAGGCATAAACAATGCTTAGCATCAATTCGCTTGACACGGTGCTCCCAATCCAAGACAACACGATTGCATTACATTTTTCCTATTATTCGGCCAATTCTCCTTTGTATATTCTTTTTACACAAGTCTCGTCCACAAACCCTAGCTTGCTTTTTCCCCGGAGTGCCAATGAAATTGCTCTACTCCACAGGGCATAGTTATCTGGTCCTGTGAGTTTGAGCGGTATTAAGACAAGTCCTGGAGCATCTGACGGTTGTAAAAACAACGGATGATTGCGATCTAAAGATGCAACTTCATTTCCGCCATTGCTGTCTGAAAATCAGCTTCTCGGAGCTACGATCTACTGTATTTTGCTTGAATCTCGACGGAATTACGATCGCCGCTCTGATACCATGATAAAACTAATCGAATCTACACAGTAATGCAACATGCAAATGAATTTGTGATGAATCTGGAGAGGAAATGAGATGAAGAAGAAAACATTGTTGTATTGATCTAAGAAGAAGAAGAAGAAATACACGTGTGAGCTCTTATATAAACACCCACTTCTAACCGCCTATAACAGCCTTTCCACATTAGGACAAAACTTTCTAAAGTTGTACACTTAGGCCCCTTAGCTTATCCTATATGCAATTGATATGTATCTCAATACACTATAACCATACGATAAAGTGATCTATTTTTTTCTCGTCTATTGCTTTTCTTAGGTACGGTCTAGCTAGGCCCTTTAAACTGAAAATATCTTTGGATTCTATTTCACTTGATCAGATATTTGATTTGTGTGTTTCAGTTTCACAACCATAAAGACAATGATTCCTGAAAATTTTGCTCTGGTTCGTTGAATCATAGCCACTGAAATCCACATTGACTTGGCCTAATCATTTAACAGTACCGAACTTACCTCAATTTTTTACTTTCTTTTTTCCTTTTCGTTGCTTTTAACTACGGACTCAACTTCAAAACTAGATGATAAGATGTAGACAGCCTAAAGTTATATAAGTAGACAATAACTTATTTTTCAGTATTTTAGAAACTCTAACTTCCTTAGTTTACACGTACGTCTATATATAACTGATAGTTTAATTTGGAGCATAAATAATATAACATGGGCCCAGTGTTGGATTAACTATTGAATATTAAGTAATTCGATAAGTGCTTGGCTATGCAAATATTTAATTTGTATTTTGTTTGTATAAATATGCCAATGTTTATGTTTGTGATATCCAAGTAATTTAAAAGAGAATAGATGGTTAAGAGGTAGAAGAACAAACGAATTTCTATCTCAATGTGGAACGTCCAGAGAGGGAAAAGAGCTGTCTAATTTTTGGACCAAGGAAGGATAAGACGAAAAGATGTTAGACACTTGTTCCCTCTATTGATCATCAGAACTCAGAAGTAAACAAGATTTTGTCACATATTAAGAGTAGATGATGACACAGAGATATTCCTTTCTCTAGTATAGAGTGTTAAATGTAATAAAGAAGGGCGTATTGTTGTTCAAGCTTAAGTATGCCTATATACCAAATCTGAATACACTTTAGTCTAAGTTAAAAAAATTGCCAACTTGCTCTCTTTGGCCACCAGAAATGAATAGAAGATGCTTCTCATTCACTAAAAGCAGCACTCGAATTTTTGAGCTGTAATCTGAAGTGACTGTTGATGGACATATATGGTTCTGGAACATATCCCCAAATTGACCTTTTTCTTTGCTCTTTTGGTTCTTAACCACTCTATTTCTTCCAATTTCTGACAAATTTCGAGTACATACTTTGAGGTCTCCATCTTTTTTTGTTGGGAATAAGTTCCCCTATCACTTCTTTCTTCCTTTCAAAACAACACCTGCAAAGCATTAACATTTCGCAATTCTGGTCTTAGAAATACGAGATTTAGGGCGAGTTCTATTAGTTCGTCTACTTTTAATTGAAATTGTGTGTATAT